GGGGGGGATCTGTCTCTGTGTCTAGTTGTTTTGGCACGCAATGCCCCTATAGCAGCGTCCTGGGGGGGGGGGAGTTGAAACAGTTTATGTCCAGGATGTGGTTTGTGCAGCGTACAGATCCTCAATGGAAGGCAGGCTGGTTGCAATGGTTTTTCTAGCACTCCTAATTATCCGTTGAAGTTTGTACTTGTCCCATTCGGTTGCTGTATCAAATCAGAAAGTTATTGTGCTGTCCAGACAGTATATAGTAACTGGGAATTGAGATGGTTAAGTTAGAACTGGGAGCTGTCCCTTGTCTTTATATTCAGCTAGTAATTAAAGGAGAGAACTGTTATAGAAGTAGAAATGAGACAGACTCGATGATTCCTCTCTATCAGCAGATCCTTGATATAATGAGCAGATTTATTTATCTTTGATTTATTGGATTCCCCCCCCCCCCCTTTTGTTCAAGAGCTCAAGAGCCTTCCAATTCACTTTTTCCCCGAGAAGAACCCTAGGGGGTACTATGGGTTGGGCTGCGTGAGTTATTTCAAAGAGCCATCTAGTGGCGGCAAAAACTTCTCCTTTTCCGTTTTATCCTACTGAAGTTTTCTTGGAATTTTTCCATGCGGTGAAATGCTCTTCTTGTACCAGCAGGATTTGGTCTCAGTTGGTCTCAGTCTCAGAGCAGCCGGAGGGCACCGCCAGGGCCAGCCCCGTTAGCTTCTCTTGGCAGCCATCCTGAGTGCATTTGCCACAAATGCTCTTGTCCCCATCCGCTGCGAATTCTCCTCCCTTGGGATCCTTGGGATCCTTGGGCGCACTGGAAAGGATGAGCTGCAGCTACCAGTCAGGGCTTCTGGTTTGCCTCTCGAACAGCCGAAATCCAGTGAGGGAGAGCTGCTGAGCGGTCCGGAGGACGAGTTTGATAGGCGACAATAAAGGCAGCAGATGTCTATCTTTGGGGCCTTTGGGGCCTAAATAGAAAGGATTGATTGATTGACATATAAGGTTAGTTTGACAAGCAAGGCTCCCCTTAAAGAATCCAAGGAATTCTTCTTGTCCTTCCAGGTCCCCTGCACCACCTTCTGCCAAAGCCATGTGTGAAGAGGAGACAACAGCCTTGGTGTGCGACAATGGCTCTGGGCTCTGCAAGGCTGGCTTTGCTGGGGACGATGCGCCTCGCGCAGTCTTCCCCTCCATTGTGGGACGCCCACGTCACCAGGTGGGTATCTCAAGCCTCGATTCTGGACTCAGAAGGGGGGCAAAACCCGGGCCAAGGTGGGACCCAGAGCCTCAAGAAGGGCACTTCCTCTCCTGCTGGAAACAACCTTAGGATCTGGGTCCGACACCAGATGTGTTCAGGGAAAGAGGAGACGAAAAGCTACGAATTGAAACCTGAAAGGAAAGTGCGTCATGTGAGAACAAACAGGTCAACGTACCTGAAGTGCCGATGATGCAAACGTCACACACCTGGCGCACTTGGGCGTGTGGAACTTGCCATCGCCCTCAAAATACAACGTTGTCAAATGTCCGAAGAAAATTCAGTCTGAGTTGTTTTTTTTCAAGTGCAGAACTTTTAGCATTTACTATAGGAATAGGATCAGCCTGATCCTGAAGAAAGCAGACAGACACATGGGATCCTTACGAAGGGATTCAGACAGGATTAGGGCTAATCTTCTAGGGGCTCAGCGGCTGATAAGAAGGGCCAGGAAGGCGAGACACAGCAACGGGGACTGCATTGATGGTCCTCCCTCTGGCCAGCCAAGAGTGGCCTAGCTCCCCTGCAGGAGGTGAACGGGTACTATGGGAGACCGGTCAAAAAAAATGGGCCCCTGGAGAAGCCAGGAGGGTAAATGGTTCTCGGGGCCAAATGGCTCTCTCCCCGGGCAGGTGTCACTGACCCATAGGAAGAAGGAAGGGGTCCTGATCCTGCCCAGCTCAGCTACGATGACTCTCTAATTCTTGCCTGTGAGAAGGTTGAGCTGCCCTCTGAATGTTGGACAGCGCTTGCCCCTCTTCTGAGCCAAGGCTGGAGAAAAGGAAACGCTTCATCGAGGCTTGTAGTAGGTTCGGCTTCCGTTGCCTGCTTGCCCTTACCCGCTTCCGGCCTTCCCTTTCTAGGGCGTGATGGTGGGAATGGGCCAGAAAGACAGCTACGTGGGGGACGAGGCCCAAAGCAAGAGAGGAATCCTGACTCTGAAGTACCCCATCGAGCATGGCATCATCACCAACTGGGACGACATGGAGAAGGTGGGACTTTACTCCAAGGTCGCACCTGACCTTCCGGTCTTTAAGCAGGCATTCTGACCGGAAGCAGCTGGAGAGAATTCAGGCACCCTTCCTTATGCCATATTGACTTGTCTAGTGGAACTCAGTCAGCTGGTTCAAACCTCCCAGTTTCCAAGTAAATAAAATTTGAATTAATTGGAGACAGATGTGCACTTCATTAAATTCTCCCAGGGGGGGTGGGGAAAGGCTTCTGGGATGTAGGAAAGTAGGAATCTTTCATATCGGATGGACAAAGGACAACAATCCTTTATAAAATGTCATCGCCACCAATTCCCACTTAAATCTTTAGGGTTTTATTTTCTGTTTGTGCTTCAGGCCGGTTGGGCAGCCTGATCCAGCCACGCAATGAGTTGGGTGGGTGGTCCCAATCAGCGGAGGGCCAGCTGAACAGGCATGCCCATTGGTGGGAGGGTCCGCTGTGGTGGTGGGGGGTCCGGGGTGAAGTGGGTGTAATAAGGGAGCTGCGTCCAAGTGTTCTAGACCAGGGGTCTCCAACCTTGGCCACTTGAAGACTTGTGGACTTCAACTAGCTGGAGCATTCTGGGAGTTGAAGTCCACAAGTCTTCAAGTGGCCAAGGTTGAAGACCCCTGACTTAGACCTCCTGCTGCTGCAAAGGAAGCCCAGCAACACTGACTTTTTCTCTAGATCTGGCACCACTCCTTCTACAATGAGTTGCGAGTGGCCCCGGAGGAGCACCCCACGCTGCTCACAGAGGCACCTCTGAACCCCAAGGCAAACCGGGAGAAGATGACCCAGGTAAACCTTCCATCCCAAGGTTGCTGGGTGAAAGGGCAGATACGGGGGATGAAGCCACCGCACCTGCATCCTCATGACGCCACGAGGGCAGAAAGCCTGGTTCTGCTGCAAGCTGGTGTCACAGGCAGAACTTGAGATGTGCACAGCCACACAGCCACACACCCACCCCACCTGGAGCATTGGTCAGTGTGACTTGTGCAAAAGAGGATTTGGGAGACCCAGGAAGCAGGCAGGTCAGAAGCTGGGGAGGAGTCCCCTTGGACAAATCCTCTTCGTTTTCAAGAGAGTTACACAAAGGATTGAGCGAGAGAGCATGATTGATGACTCTGGGCTATGGACGTGTCCCATTGGAGAATATGAATTATGATACACCCAGAGGGATAGGGTGGAGCGGAAACCAGGGCCAAGGCTGACAATGAATGATGTGTCTCAGAGTCGGCTACACCCAGGCAGCGCCGGACATGTTAACTCCCAATCAATCCTTTGGAAGTTTTGGAAGTTTGTCTCGAGACTCAGGGTTTAATTGGGGGTAACTGCCGGAATCCTGACACCCCTGTTTTTAGATTCATAGAGAGTGCCCCTTGGGTTTTCCACAATGGTCCCCCACGCATGATTGAGCAAACCCTATTCTTGGTGATCTGATGCTCCAGTCTTGGTCCCGTTCCTGATTTTCGTTTTTGCTCCCCCAGATTATGTTTGAGACCTTTAATGTCCCGGCCATGTACGTTGCCATCCAGGCAGTCTTGTCTCTTTACGCATCTGGCCGAACCACCGGTGAGTGCCTCCGTCTTTATCTTCACCAGTTTGCATTTGGGTGGTTTTGTAGCATGCATGCATACATACATACATACATACATACATACCATTTAATTCATCAACAGACAGACAGACAGACAGACAGACAGACAGACAGACAGACAGACCATTTAATTCATCACCTTTCTACACCACCATCCCCTCTAAATCACTCTGCACGTAGAGCCGCAAGCACAAATCCAGACACAAGTCTTAAGAGCACTGCTGAAAGGGAAAACAAGGCTGCTTAAAGGAGCTGCGTTCTTCCCTGGGGCTGCCAGAACCTGGAAAAGCAGCTGCTTTAAAGGCTGGCTTGGAAGTGATCTGTGGGCATCTTTTTCCAGCTGCTTCAGTTTTCTGTGCAGGTACTTGGAGCGCGACAAGCGTTCTGGCCAGGCGCATTTAACCCCTTGGTTGGATTCTTTAGGTGGAGCTATAGAAGTCTGGCTTCATATAGCTGTATAAGCTTGTGCTGGAGATCAGTTCTTACTACGCTGGGCAGAGTCTCGGTGGCCCCTCCAGCTACCCTGGGCCCCCGTGAATGCTCCAAGGCAGGGGGTCTCCAAGCTTGGCAACTTTAAGCTGGCCGGGGGATTCTGGGAGTTGAAGTCTGCCAGGCTTAAAGTTGCCAAGCTTGGAGACCCCCTGCCCCAAGGGACCTCAGGCTAGGGAAGGGAGGCTGTGACGGCATCCTTCAGCCACACGCACCAATGGGCGTCTCTCTTGAAGTTTTACACACCCGGCTTTGGCTAGGAAGTGAGGAAGAAAGTAACTAATGTTTCCCTTTTTTAATTTCAAGGTATCGTCTTGGACTCTGGTGATGGTGTCACTCACAATGTGCCCATTTACGAAGGTTACGCTCTGCCACACGCAATTATGCGCCTGGATCTGGCTGGCCGGGACCTTACGGACTACCTCATGAAGATCCTCACCGAGAGAGGCTACTCCTTTGTCACCACCGGTAAGGGGGAATTGGGCCTCTCGGGCTCTGCAGTGACGGGAGGACGGACTCTATTAGTATTTCTTTCTCTGCCCAGGAGGAAAAGGACTCTTCTTTTAGGGAACCCTCCAGTCTCTTCTTAAAAACCTCCAGTGATGGAGCCCCCACAACTTCTGGTGGCCAGCTGTCCCACCGGTTAATTGTCCTCACTGTCAGGAAGTGCCTCCTTAATTCCAGGTTGCTTCTCCCTTCCATCAGTGTCCAGTCACTGTTTCTTGCCCTGCCCCTCCGGAGCTTTGGAGGTGGGGATTAGTGCAGGGCATATAACTCGGAGGGGCCTCTGTCTGTTCGTACATGCTTCACCCCTGCATGTTCAGGGCCCCGCTGGGGGCTGCTGCAGGAGCAACGGGCCTGTGTCTTCCACAGCGGAAAGAGAAATTGTGCGGGACATCAAGGAGAAGTTGTGCTACGTCGCCCTGGATTTTGAGAATGAGATGGCAACGGCGGCTTCCTCGTCATCCCTGGAGAAAAGCTACGAGCTGCCTGATGGACAGGTCATCACCATCGGCAACGAGCGCTTCCGTTGCCCCGAAACCCTCTTTCAGCCCTCGTTCATAGGTCCGTCTCTCCAGGGGGGCGGGTGGGGGGGAATCAAGGACAAAGCAACTCGCTGTGAATAAAGAACGGATGGAAAACCATAAACTCCTCTGCAGTGAAACTGTAGGAAACCCTAAAGCAGAGGTCTCCAAACTTGGCCACTTTAAGACTTGTGGACTTCAACTCCCAGAATTCTTGGAGTTGAAGTCCACAAGTCTTAAAGTGGCCAAGTTTGGGATTCTGG